AAGTCCTGAGTATGTAAATGCACACATTGCAAGCATGAAGATGCTATCCAAGGCCTAGACCTTTCAATGTAAGATTCTATAAACTACAGAAGGCCAGAAAGCTTAATGGTTTTCAACTTTACACAGCCTGCCAAAGCTACCCAACATAAAAACTGAAGGACTATGTGCTGATTGTTTTTTTGTCAATTTGACACAAACTAGAGTCCCTGAAGGGAAGGAATCTAGATTGAGGAACTGTTTCCATCAGATTGGCTTGTAGGCAAGCCTATGGGGGCATATTCCTATCGAGTTATATGGGAGGGGCCAGCTCACTGTGGGTGATGCCATCCCTGGACAGGGGGTCCTGGGTTGTATAAAACAAGCATACTGAGCCAGCCATGGAGAGCAAGCCAATAAGCAATGTTCCTCCATGGTCTCTGCTTTAGTTTTTTCCTCCAGGTTCCCGCCCGGAGTTCCTGCTCTGACTCCCCTTCATGATGAACTACAACAGGAAGATGAAATAAATTCCTCCCTCCCCAAGTTGCTTTTGGTTGTGGTGTTTATCATGACAAAAGAAAGCCAGCTAATAGAGAAATGGTACCAGGACCATAGGGCACTGCTGTAGCAGACCTGACCATGTTATTTTTGTTAGAATTGTGGCAGCCTGTGAAACTCTGATCTGCAAAAACTACTGAACCCAAGTTCAATGTATGTGGAAACAATGAGGATGAGGGAGGGAGGAGCAGGGCACATTTTCACATCATTTGATTTCTTATTTATAAGTTTCAATTGTTAAAAATGCTTATAAAAATCAGTAACAACATGCAATTTTTTTTTTTTTAGTTCTCCAAGCATTGCCTATTAACAGTCTCTTAAAAGTCTATATTCATGTTATATTTTTTCAAATTCTTAAGATCATAGGCCATGGTATTTCTTCCTTCTGAACATAATCATAGGATTCAGAAACTGAATCATTTGATGGGGGGGGGCCGACTAACCCTTTCCTCTACCCTGTACCATTGGCATTTTCCTTTATGACTGTAATCTACAATGCCTGTGATAATTTAAAGAACAGAATACTGTGGAAGTGAAGGTATGTATGTGACTAGTGACTAGGTCACAGAAGGCACTTTGCACTCTACTCTTGGATCCCTTACTTGGAGGAAAGTTAGCTGCCAGGCTATGAGTAGACACCCATATGGCAAAGCCTCCTGCCAAATGTTATGTGAGTGAGCCATCTTGGAAGTACATCCTCCAAGTGAAGCCTTCAGCTTGCAACCCTTGCCTATTCTTGATTTCAACACATGAGAAATCGTGAGCCACAACCATTCAGCTAAGTCATTCCTGAGTTTCTGATACACAGAAATTGAGAAAATAATGTATTGTTTTTATGTTGTTAAGTTTTTTAGTAAGTTTAGGGTAACTAGTTATATGACAAGACATTGTAAAAGATATGTAACTACTGTGGTGAACAAGAGGTGAAACCCAGTTATTAAATTAAATTAGGCATATTCTTGCAACTCTAAGTAGAATACTGTTATCTAATGATAGAGCCTTGTTGTCTTGACCTTTTAATGACCTTTTTAGAAGAAAAAAAGACTCCTGCACACTCTCTGTATAGGAATAGCATGAACACAGGCTGGACTATAAATACTATTTTTATTGATTGGTTGAGTGATTATAGTACTGGAGACTGAACCCAGGGTGCACACATACTAGGCAAGCACTCAACTACAGAGCTTAAAACTTAAAACTCAATTTTAAGTTTCTTAAGTCAAACATTCTAAAAAGGTCTTTCCCCAGCCCTATGTATCTTTCATTCCTTTGCTTCATGTTTCATTTCTCTAGCTGTGTACACAAGTGCCATTTCTCAAAGTGTCCAAGTCTTTCCCTGCTGCACATTCTAACAGAAATAGTTTAAAGAAAACAAATCTTCAAGCCATCCATCAAATGTAAGGACAAAAGGACTCTAGGTGGCTAATAATAAATCCTTCTTTTACTGTTTAAAGTCATTTCTGTTAACTTACTAATTCATACAGAAACAAGGCCAACTGATTAGGAGTGTAACTTCTAGAAATAGGTTAGTTTTATTTAAATATTTTCAACATATTAAAGTATACCTTAAAATACATCTTACCAAACCCTCTATGCTTTCCTATTCTCATCATACAGATGTGTGCTTCTACAAAATAGCAACTAAATGTGGACTGATTTCATTTTGAAAAACAAAAAACCTAATATAACAAAATATTTCAAAGTTCTATTCCTAGGAAAAGTTTTCTCATCTGTATTATCTAAATGTGAACTTAATTATAACTTATTAAGTAAAGATCAATACATATGCAAATGCAAAATATTTTAATTTCAATTGCTTGATTAGCTAATATTTTATTAGACATTACTAGTTAAGACTAATTATTTTATACTAAATATAGAGTCAGCTTTCAAATATGTAATACATCTAAGTTATCCTTAAAAATACATTGTAGAGCTATTGTAATAAAAACAATATGATACTGGCACATAAACAGACATGGAAAACAATAGAATAAAACAGAAGCCCAAACATGAGTACTCAAACTACAGCTATATGATATTTGGCAAAAAGAGAAAAACATATGGCATGTTTAGCTGGGTGGTGGTGGTGCACGCCTTTAATCCCAGCACTTGGGAGGCAGAGGTAGGCGGATCTCTGTGAATTACAGGACAGCCAGAGCTACACAGAGAAACTCTGTCTCAAAAAAGAAAAAAAGAAAAAACAAAAAACAAAACAAAACAAAAAAGACAGCATCTTTAACAAATGGTGCTGGGAAAAACTGATGTCCACATGCAGAAGAACAGAATTAGACATCTATCTATCATCCTGAAAGCCAAAAACCAAAACCAAAAACCAAAAACAAAAGGCACAATAGATCAAAACCCTCAAATTTGAAATCTGAAACACTAAAACTGCTGGAGGAAAGTATGCATGTATATTTGTGTATATAAAATCAAGGAATGTATATATACATTATATGTGTGTGTGTGTGTGTGTGTGTGTGTGTGTAAGTGTTTAGTGTATAATAGTGATCAAGGAAAAAAGAAGCTATCAACTTGAGAAAGGGGGCTCCATGAGAGTGGTCAAGGAAGGATAGTTAAGAGGGACTGAAGGGAGGAAAAGGAGGGGGGAAAGTGATGTAATTCATTTCAATTAGAAACATTTTGAAAAGAAAAATAAATATGAATATAAAAAAGGACAGATATTTTGTTTATGCATTCAGTGTTCATTAGCCCTTTGGATTGAGATACGTAAGAGAAATTTAAAATACAGCCTAATTTTAGTTCTATTAAATGGTTATAGTACAAGGAAATGAAATTCATGAGCTATTCAAAGAATTAAATTATGGATATCACATATGTCTCTTGTATTAATAAGGATAATGATGATAAATCACTGAATTTATATTTACTCCTTACCCAGAGCTTATTTCTTTGGGCCTTTTCCATGGCCTGACCACAAATAGAGTATAACTGGTGCAGATTATTAATTCTTTGGAAATAAGCTTAGCCAAACAAAGGAAGTTGATGAAAAAAGTAGAAAATAATTTAAATCCAGGATCATTTGTCTTACTATCTACCTCAGTTTAAAGTTTCTTTGCTTTGTTCAAACTTGCACTTCATTAAATGCTCATGATACAAAGGAATGGGGAAATTACTAGGGAGCCTGGAGAGATGGCTCAGAAGAGTGTGCATGTGCAATCATAAGGACTGGAGGTCTGATGCTAGTACTCAAGTAATGAGCAGAATGCCTATGTCTATATCTATCTGCAACCCTAGCACCAAGGGCGGTGGAAGCAGGCCTGCTGAGTCTCTCTGGCTTCCAGTCTAGCAGAAAATGCAAGCCCCAGATTCAGGGAAGGACCCATGCCTCTGGGGCTGTGGAGATGGTTCAGTGGTTAAGATCATTTGTTGCTCTTTCAGAGGACCCAAGTTTGATACCCAGGACCTATATAGTGGTTCACAACCATCCTTAACTCCGGTTCAGGGGATCTGATAATCTCTTCTGATTTCCATGGGTACCAGACATGCATGTGGTATATATGAAGGCATGCAGGCAGAACATTCACACACATAAAACACACAAGTAACCTTAATAGTGGCAGAGAGTAATAGTGGAGGATACTTGGAACTCTCTTCTATCTCTTGTGTGTGTAAAAGGCACATATACCCATACACACAAAGAGCATACTAACATACACACACACAAACATATCTTTAAAAAAAAAAACACTAGGAAATATAAAGCTTAAGCTTTATTTTAAATATAACTAATTCTGTTTAGGAAGATATGTCATGTTTACAGATACAGAACTTTGTTTAGGATTTTAGTGGTAAGGGACTGGAGAGAAATGGCTCGTCAGTAAATAGTATATATTACTCTTACAGAGGATCTGAGTTTGGTTCCTAGCACCTTCTTCACATAGCTTACAACTAGAACTCCAGAGCAAGTAGATTTAATGTGTCTGGCCTCCATGGGCATCCGCATACATGTGCATATATCCACATACAGATACCCACATAAACATAACTAAAAATAATAAAATAGGGGCTAGAGAGAGATAGCTCAGTGGTTAACAGCACTACTGCTTTTACAGTGAACCTGGGTTTAGTTCCCAGCACCCAAACTGTGGCTCACAACCATCTGTAATTAGTTACAGGAGATCTAATACCTCTTCTGACCTCTGAAGGCACTGCATGGATATGGTGCACACATATGTACACATAAAATTAATTAAAATTTTTTTCTTAAAAAAGATTTCAGTGGCAGGTTACTGCCTAAGAAAGATGAAACAAGGAAGATATATTGTATATCAGCATTTAATGGTGGTTTCTGCAGAAGCAATGTTAGGGCAAAAAAAAAAAATACTATCTACTTTCTTCCCATGGTCTACCCACTCAAATTATGAGAGCATATAGCCTAAATAACCTGTAAGTCTGCGTAGCCTAACTAACTTAAGAATGAGTCTCACAGTAGTTCCTACCTTTGACTGCTTATTTCTCAGTGTTCCTAGTTTCAGTTTATCATGTGGTTCATCAAGAGTCAAATTATTCTTCCTTCTTTCACTGTCTTCAAGCAAAGGTACATAGCCATAACTGTTATCTGCAAGAAAAAAAAAAAAAACATTTGTACATCAGTAGAAAGCCCTGGAAAGGTAATTATAATAAAAATGAAACCAGGCATGATGGCACATGCCTTTAATCCCAGTCCTAGGAAGGCAGAGGCAGGTGGATTTCTGTGAGTTTGAGGCCAGCCTGGTCTACAAAGTGGGTTCCAGGACAGTCAGAGCTACACAGTGAGACTTTGTCTCAAAAAACCCACAACCAAGCAACAACAATGAAAAACGAACAAACCAACCAAACAAATAAACAAAAATAATGAAACAAAAACAAATCTCAGTAATTTTAAAAGAATAAACGATAAGCTCTAGTTTTATAATATTCAATGTTTATGTAATATTTACAATTGGCAAGTTACCCATTTAGAGTTTTTCCTTCCCACTAAACACTTATTTTCCCATGAGTCAATGAATTCCGAAGACTAGAATTAATTAAGCTTCTTACATTTTACTTTATCAACAGTTAAACTTTTAGGGCTTTCTTTTTTTTTGGAGGAGGGGGATGGTGCCCAGCATGTACTAGCTAAGTGTTCCACCATAGCTACACTTCCAGGCCAATTAAACTTTTATACACCACTTTTTAGGTATGCATTTCTTGTTTAAGAAAATTATACTTGGAAAAAACTATTGCTTTATAGGAAATTAGAAAATGTAGCTATGACAGAAAGAAAAGAAACTGGAGGCTGAAGAGATGGCTCAGTGGTTAAGAGCACTGCTGCTCTTCCAGAGGACATGGGTTTGCTTACTAGAACCCCCATAGTGGCTCATGACCATCTATCAACTCCAGTTCCAGGAGATCCAACACCCTCTTCTGGTCTTGTGGGTACAAGACATACACACACACACACACACACACACACACACACACACACACCCCACACCCACACAGTCCCACCATATAGACACATAAGCAGGCAAAACAGTCATAAATAAAAAAGTTCTTAAAAATTATTAAAAACCAAAAAAGCTATCTAATTTTTATCACTTGTGAACTACTCTTAACATTGTGGTTTATATTTTATGTTTTTCTTTTCTACATATAAACTCCAACAATGTTTTTCTGTACACATGAAATACTATATATATTTGTATCTTACTTTCTTTACTTTGCTGCCTATCATGAACACATTTCCTGTTGGTAAGTAACAACTATTGTTTTTTTTTTTGTTTTGTTTTGTTTTTGGTTTTTCCGAGACAGGGTTTCTCTGGGTAGCTTTGGAGCCTATCCTGGCACTCCCTCTGGAGACAGGCTGGCCTCGAACTCACAGAGATCCGCCTGCCTCTGCCTCCCGAGTGCTGGGATTAAAGGCATGCACCACCAATGCCCGGCCAAATTAACAACTATTAACACTGCTTTTCTTGGCTATACAGTTGTTCACTATAACTTAACTTTTGGACATTGTACCTTTTTGGATTATTTACTGGTTTATTCAAAGGGCATTTAAAGGGAGAGATGCACAGGGCAAGGAATGTGGAAAGGGCACGGAGCTTCTGTACCCTTTCTGGGCACAGTACATGGTCAGCTATCTGGAAGCTCAGATGCTTCTGACTTTTCATCTAGAAATCTACTGTGATGATACAATGTATATACATTTTCTAGCACTTGCACAAATTGTCTTAGATACTCTTAGAGCTTCTATTTTCATCTCAAAGGCACAAACTTTTTAAAAAGCTTTTTGCTATTCATTGGCAAAGTGCCTTCAAGGAAGTTTTATCAATCAGGCTTCAGCCCACTTCCCCATGTCCTACAAGTTAAAAAAAAAAAAAAAAAAGAAAGAAACATAATGTATAGCTGTACTATGCTTCTTGTATCAGAACTAATAAAAAATAGAAACACTTAAATTTTACCTTCTCTCTAAAGAGTTTCCAGAAAAAAATTTAAAAGGAAGGAAGATAGAAATACCTCGACAAGAATCCACAAGAAGTAGCTGTGATTTTAGCTTGTCAATAAGAGTTTGTTGAAGTGACAGCTGTTCTTGTTGCTCGCGTATTCTTTGTTCATAGGTCTCGGTCTAAAGACAAAGAAACCCCAGTTAGCCTGATACTCATGGAGAGACTGTTTCCTGTCTATTGATAAGCTCAGGGGCTGCCTGAAGCCCAGATAACTAAAAAATCTACTCAACAGTTACTGACTGGCTCCAGGGATTTACTTGTGATCATTATCATATCAGTGACTTAAAACAAGTAGAACACTATACAACTTTTAAAAACTATCTTATTTAGAGATTTCAGTCAAGAGTTTTCTTGCTCTTTCAGTAAAGACAAATATTATAATTTGAAATTCAATACTTGTAAATAAGAAAAAAACCTGAATGTTTAAGTAGATGCTGCATTAAAGTCACACTTTAAAAATACATACCAGACTTAAAACAAACTTTTATGTCTTTAAAATAAACACTGTAATTTTTTTGAGTACAAAACCACAAAAGAAGTAGCTAAAAGTTAATATAATGAAAATCAAAGGAATGAATATAAATTCTAAAAGTATACTAGCCAGAAACAAGAACGCCAGGGTTAATTTTTATTATATGAAAATATTATTTATAGATTTTAAGTAATATAATCCCCTTATATTTTTATTCCACCCATCTTGCTATTTTATTATATTGGCTGTGAAAACAATAATGAGAATGACATATGTATTAAGAATATAGACATATAGATGTGCCAACCTTCAAGAAAAATCTGAAACTGTTGTATTACAATTACCTAATTAGTACATTCGTAAAAGCTATCTTAGAAAGCATAATATGAAAGTCTTTGCTGCTTTCTACCATTGGAGAAATGACTAAATGGAAAAAATGACTAAATATAAATTTCTTAAAATATGAAAACAGTCCTATTAATTGTAGCAGCCTTTGGTATATACTAGATGTTTAATTTTTTTATTGACTAAGTCAAAAGTTCACAATTAATGAAGTTATATTATTTTCTGATCCCAAGTAAGCCTAAAGTTCTTTATAAATAAAGATCTGTTCCTTAAGTCTCTAATACAAATTTAAGAAATTAAAGAAAAATAACACACTCAAATAAAAAATGGACTTTTATACACAGGACACCTCAAACATGAATAACTGACAGGGTAGTTAAGTAACCCCACTAGCATGTTAGCTTTGTATGTTGTGTGGCGGCAGTCTTACATAACTTGACATTCCGCCATAGAACTCCACAAATGATGTTAAATATATGCTGATTATTATAAGCAGAAAAAGAACCAATGATGAGTCTCAGCCTTATAGAATTCAAGCCCTAGATACCAAACCCTAGACATTCAGGTCTAATACAGAGCCAAGCTTCCCAGAATAAGATATCTTATCCTTACATACATTGGCATCCAACCTGCTGGAATGAGTGTGGTAAACTAACTATAAAAATGATACATACATTACAGTTAATTCGTAATACCTTAAAACTGCCTGGGCTACATACTCTTCCTGAGGTGGAAGAATCACCAATATGTTTAGGTTTTCCCTATATACTTGATGCATTTAGAACATTTTTATTTCAAGAACTCAAAATTCTTCATAAACATCAATAAGTAATTTCAATAATTACCTCTTTTCACTATATCTCAATGGTTATATAAATCCTACTGCTGTTCAGTGAGCAAGTAACAAGATTTTTTTTTAAACTAGCAAATTAGAGATAGGCTGAGAATAAATGTCTAAATTCTTCAAGTCTCAGCCCATTCTTCATCTATTATGCTCCCTCCCCAATTTTAGTGAAGAAACCAAAAGACCATGTATGTTCATTTGGAACCAACTCAGAACACTTCTGCCAATTAATTTTCATCTTACTCTCTCTAGATTAAAGACACACTTCAGCACATCTGCTTATAACATATTATAATAAATAATGTATTCAATAGCTGAGAAAGTTAATATATCAATGGCTATTTCACATAGAAGTCTTGAACTATTTCTTAAATCAGATGATAATGTATTATAAAGCCAAATCTGCTGACAGTGTAGCTGGACAAATAGTAGAGCATGTCCTGTGTTGTTCATGTAGTTATGGTAGTTATAGTATTTTAGTCTGTCTACATGTCTGATGGGCAGAGACTATGTTACTGTAATCTCTAGTATCATACAGTGTCTGGCATATACTGAGATGCTCCGTATATACTAAATTGTTAATGAATTATCTGAGAAATAGTATGCCTTCAAAAATGACCTGAAGGAATGGAGGGATAATGACCTGGCTTTTAATGCTTGAAAACTAAGTAAAACAAGTTTGCTTACATTTTTTTTAAAAAAATCAAATGATTATGAACAAATAGCATAAAATCTTTCTAAAAGATCAGAAAAATCAATGCACAGTCACAGTATTTAAAAATATACAATTACAAAGCAAGTGGATTCCAGTACTATCAAAGACCCTGCAAACAGAAAACTCACTAACAACCACATTGAAAATGTACAACAGTAATGTCTTGTCAACACTTCTGTACAGAGCACAGACATGACAGCTAAAACAGACAGAAGAGAAGATGCTTTTGACAGCCAGTGTGTGTGAAGGATTCTTTGAGTCAGATGGCAGCAACAAGTTACCAACTAGGAGATCTGCATGACAACTAACCATCCATCTGTACCAAACACCATCTGGCCAAGATGACTCTGGCTTCTGTGTACTTGACACTCCTTCTAATTCCAAAGACTAGCAAAACAAGTGGTCGATCAGAATCTAAGAAGTAAACAGGTATACAGGTACGTCATAAAGGGTTGTGTATCCTTCTTAGTGTTCAACAGCAAAACAGCATGATGGAGATCAAACATGTAATAATATATGTCATCAATTTATCAAAAAGGGTTATTTAAGCATACTCTATATCATTAATAAAGCAAAAACATCATCTTAAGAATTATTCTGATGCTGGAGAGCTGGCTCAGTAGTTAAGAGCAAAGCTGCTCTTGCAGAGGACTTGGGTAGCATTCACATGGCAGTTCACAACCATCTTCATCACCAGTTGCAGGAAATCCAATGCCCTATTCTGATCTCCATAGGCATCAAGCATGAGTGTGATGCATATATGTGTGTATATATATATATATATATATATATATATATATATATGTGTATATATATAGTATATATACATAAAAGGCAAAGCATCAATATGCATGAAAAAAATCTAAAAAATTAAATAGAAAAGACTTGTTCTTTTATTAATGAAAAATTTCAGCCTGTCCTCTTTAAAACTAAGATAACATATTTCCAATAATTTTGGACATACAGCTGTTCAAGTTTTCATAAGTTTCATAAATATTAAGATAGAATTCTGTTAATTGAATTTTTCCTACTGCAGACATTGGATGCTCTAGTTTTCATATTTCCCAAGATGTTTACTTCCTATATTGGGAGAAAACTTTAAATGCCCAAAGCCATCTATAATATTTTATATTGGTCAAATATTATTTCTTCTCATCTTCAAGATAGTCTGAAAAAGTAATATGGCTTTCTTCTAATGATTTTTACTAGGGAATTTAATAAGAGTAGAGTGGATAAAACATAATCTCAATTAAAAAAAACATTTGAAATTGCTCTAAGATTAATGGATAGGAAAGCTTTATTGAAGGCTCTGCTTGCATAAAAAAGTGCTCAACAGGGAGTGCCACAGTTCATGAAGGAAAATAAATATTACTTACACCAATATACAGCAGTTTAGAGAAAAGATAATAATTTATATATAATCTATTTTTAAAATCAAACAACTTTAGTAAATTGAGTTTTACTTAGTTTTTTAGCATTCAAGATCATATAGCTTGGCTTGTATGTAGCTCTACAACCGTTTTTTGTGTACTATTTTAATAAACTCCCTATTCCACCACCCACTAGATAGTGGGACTTATCTAGGATATATTGAGTTAAGACAGGTCAGATTATCAATTTGGTTATCTACAGCTAGTATTGTCATCCATTTGTCAGTATGGTAAGTGGTAAACTATGAAAAACTATTTTAAAGTTTTGGTTCCAGAGTGGGGAGTGTTTCTGCTAGGAACGGGAAGTGCAGACATCCCCCTGGACACTTTGGGCTTCTGATACCCTTAAGCCATCAGGCTAAGTAAGAAAGGACTAATGATGTTATGTAGGTGACTGATGCAGATAATTAAGGGGGAAATTGGATTGCTTCTCCACAATGGAAGTAAGAAAGATTATGCCTGGAGTGCAGGAGATCCTTTAGGGTGTCTCTTGGTGTTACCATGTCCTGTGACTAAAGTCAATGGGAAACTACGACAGCCCCTTTGGGAATGAAAGTATTGGTCACTCCTCCAGGAAAAGAGCCAAGAGCTGTTGAAGTGTTTGCCAAGGATGGAGGAAATACAGAATGGGTAGTAGAGGAACATAGTTGTAAATAGCAGCTAAGGCCATGTGACCAGTTTTAAAATGAGGATTATAATTGAAACAAGTGGTTCTGTCCTATTTTATAAAGAACACATTTGTACAGATATTTATGTTTCTTTTACTCAGTTTTTCAATTATGTTACATCAATTAAGAGAATATCAATGGTTATCATATTTAAGTTTGAGATAATAAAAGAATGTCCCTCAAGGGACATTGCCACCTATTCTAAATTTATAATGTATTTGTGGTTGAATGAGGGACAGTTGTATCATGATAGGTGTAATTATGACCTGGTTATTGTTTTCATTTGGGAATTAATCATGACATAAGGAGATACAATTGTGTGTCAAGTTGGTAAGTACACTTGTGATGGCTATTCTGGGTTGTCAACTTGACTACATCTGTAAGTAACTAAACACAAATGGAAGGGCACATGTGTGAGTGATTTGTGCTTAATTTGTAGTGGGAAGACCTACTTCTAATCTGGATCATTGAAGTAAGAAGACACACCTTATTCTAGCCAGATCTTTTGAGGTGGGAAGATCCATTTTTAAATCTGGGCCACACTTTTGCTGGAAGTCTATATAAGGACATGAAAGAAGGAAGCTTTTGCTCTTTGCCTGCTTGCTCTCACCTTACTATCAAGTCAATTCCTTCACTGGCATTAGA